AAATGTTGTCAGCCGGAAGTTAAATCGTCGTCACAGTTTCGCATCTGCGGTGATCTTCATTGCCTGATTTTCTGGTTATTATGCGATTAAGTCGGGTAGTGGACACAGCGTGTCAACTGAACATCAAGCGGTCTCTTATCTATCCGTTCATGAACATTCTTCTTTACGGTAACTCTTGTTGTTTCGACGATGTTCTGAATGTACATACGTTCGTGTAATTACACGTTTAAAAGAAGGAAGCGGTTCAGTTATTCTGTGGCGTGATTATCATTAATTAAAGAGAGAAAATGAAATTAAAATTGCGTTGAACGCAAACTGGATAATAGTGGATATTTACGGTTTTACAACTTACTAATAGCGGGGAAATTATCGTATATTTTTGGCGTATTTTTAGATTATCGAAAAATGGTATCGATTAGTAATCATGGAGTTTTTTCAAGCGGTACAGTCGATTTTAAAAGCAATATAATTTTGTAAACCGTCACTGTTCACCATCCTTATTATCTTTATTATTAAATGAGAATTAATATCTAGCGTCGTTTCTAATGTTTCTTTGTGAATATTCATAATAACCCTGTCTTACTTAACGTCTAAGTCTTCATATAGATCGAGTCTAACTAGTGAAGTAATGATTAGAATAAATGCTCATTAACACTGCAGTGTTTAAATCTTTTCTGTTATAAGTCACGGAAATTGTTCAGAACGATTATCAGGTGATAATTTATGGGTGATTATTCCCGTTCATAAAAGACGCTCGCAGAAGACTTCCGGTATGACATATGAAATAGAAGAACTACTCTCCTATTTACTAACACGCTTTTAAGCCCACAGCTATTTCATAATTACAGATTATGGAGCTTTGGTGCAGTAAAGACAGACAAAGGTAGGCTTCAGGATCATTCTTTACGAAATCGATAAACTCGTCTAGAAATTTTATTCGCCTTTGCACCGATATGGACTGTTTTTGTAGTTCTAATGTTTTTCAAATTGAAAAAAAATCAGTCAAAAAAAACGCCTTTAATTAGGGTTTCATTCTGATTGAAATCTGGTTTTCTTTTTTAATACTTTCAACAGGTTTCATCTGGAATTATAAGCGAACCACAGCGTTGTAAATTAAATTTTAATAAACTCGATAAAAATTAACATACTCGAGAAGTTTTTTGGCATAGTTCCAGATTATATCATGTCACTGTCAGTACGGATACCTACCGTATGCACTAAAATACGCTCTTTTGGGTGGTTTAAATAAAATTAAAATTGGAATTCAAATAAGCGAGCTATAGTCTCAAAAACTCAGAGTTGTTAATGATAAGGACAATACTGAGAAAAATCCAAAACCTCTCGGTTATCTTTTGCATATAAAATTGTACTGATTGTGAGTAGTAAATATAGATCACTTTGAGTTTGTGAAAGTATGATTTTTTTGCTTACCCGAGAAATAGAACACGATTTTGTGTATACGAAGGGTTATAAACAAGCATCTGTGTGTGAATAAAGTATGTCGTGTGTAGTGGTGATAATATATGGGAGCAACAAGTATTGCTGTTGAAGAGCATGATCTTATAAATCTGTTCAATTACGACTCGTAGAAGTTAAATGTGGTTACCTATCTTTTGAAGCAGCAGTTTTCGCAATATACAACGTTAAAATGGGCATTGCGCCTTTCTTAATAATATATCCCTTATCGTTAGATACATAAAGATATTTTAATTTCTCCAACTGCACAAGATTGGCAAATGAAATCTTATCATAATCTCATTTGTTGTTTTTAGTTGATTCATCTAAACTAGAATGTTTTCTTATTTAGGTTTAGAAAGCTTCTTACCCTGCTAATGAAAACTGAAACGTCGGCAAAATGTTAACAGTAGACGCAGCGATCATCCAAAAACTATGAAAATTATCATATGGTTAGAATGGTTGTTTAATATTCGTTTTTTCTTTAAGTACAGAAAACACATCACTAGTACAGGTATGGTGTGGTAACATTGTTTGTCGACCCTGAAAACACAGAAAATTCACCGTCGGTGTTACAATAGGTACACTCTTTTATCAACTTTTAATTCCTGGAATCCTAATTTTTATCGAAAAGATTTAGCGATAAATCGTTCTCCACGTGTAGACCCACGATATTATTGTAGTGCTTTTTTTAGTCAGAATATGATGCTGATATCGTTAATTTTAGTATTTCTTAGAACTGCAAAAATTATTATTTGCACACTCCGTAATCTTATATCAATAATTTGCTTGTTCCCAAGCAAAAATCCATATAAAAGATTATTCATAATCATTAAAAGACAAATACAGTGTTTAGTTTGGTTTTCATATTAAATTCCCTATAGGAAGGTTTGGATACAATGACTCCGTTTAAAATGACATATCGTTTATTATGACTGATTCTAATGAAATCATATCCGGCTATAGTGACCCAAATGATTAATAATAACATTCTCGCTCATTTTTTTGACCCTTCTTATGTATATTGATATTACAATTCATCGTTCTTTTTCTTTTTCTGTTAATAAATATACACAATTTGTAATTTTTCTTTCTATTAAACTAAATAACTAACCACAAAATAAAGTCGTTTATTTTCTAAGACTATGCTTTGTATGACGCCCGCTTGGTATGACGTGTTTGTCATTTCCCTTCGATGTCATTATAAGCGGATTCTACTGTACATAGGTGCATAATATGGTATGCGGTTGGTGTATGGTTATAGGGGACGAAATAAAAAGTTTAAACTTTAACTGAACAAAAATTTACATTATTAAATAGAGACATGTATGAATGTATCTATCTGGTACTGGTCGGTACCCAGTGGTAGGTATATAAACGGGTACCATATACGTGAATTGTGGTTGTCGATTGGGCTTTACCCGCCTCATTCTGGGCTACGCAGGTGTAGTTTCCGCTATGGATCGGTTCGACCGAACTAATGCTTAAAATACTAGAATGGGTACTGAATCGGGAAACGGACACGCCGTTCCTGTGATGGGATATGTGATTGCCATTGTGGTACCACATTATTTTCAAGGGTCTGTCGCCTTTGGTTACGTAACAAAAAATCGTGACCGACTCCCCAACGTACAAAGATTCGTTAAATGTCGTCAGGGGACTTATTATCGGTAGCACTGCAAGAGATTTAACACTCCTCAGGGTTTTTGGTTTCTTTTAAACACGATTAATAATAATACGACAAGAAATATGTGTACCATTTGATCGTTGGTAAATGCTATCGTTGCTTACCTTGCATCCTCGGTCTTTATCGATTAAAATATTTGTCGAAATATAACGCACATGTATTTACTTTAAAATATGCATAGCTGAAATACAAATACACAATAGTACCTAAGTACTGGGCCAACATAAAAAATAATGTAAATTTTTGATTTTATTATTCTTATTTTTTTATCCTATCAATAAATAATATTTATATTTATTCGCGTGAAAAAACACTTAACAATAAATTCGATTGATTTTCTGCAAATTAATATAGGAAACTAAATAATTAAGTAAATACCTAAATTTGGTAATTGATTGTACTTCTTTNGATCATGTACTTGTGCATTTCGCTATTAAATAATTATTAATTCAATTAACTTTATTATTTCTGTAATCTTCAAGTAGTAATTTCTTACAAATTTCCAACACTTTTTATCAGTCCTTAAATTGTTATAAACAAAATAATGTTTAAAGTAAATCCTTTGGATTCTGTATTTTAAAAGACAATTTTATAGTACGACGTGTTGGCCCAATACAAAAAAAATTATAAACAATAAAAAAGATTTGCAATAAAAAATTGTTGAATATTAAATATTTCCATCAAAAACGTAAAGATAATAGTGAATTGTGTATTTTACATTATATGTAAAATTTCGTCTATAAAAGCACTTTAAGATTTTTTGTAATTTTTGCATATCTTTTTTATATTTAAGAAGAAAAAAAACAATAAGACGACTTACCCATGACTTGAACTTCTACAGATCCTCTAGCACTATATCCTTGAGAGTTCTTCACCACGCAGGTGTAGGAAGCTTGATCGGAAGCCCGTTCGACATTTTCAATAATCAACGTACCATTGGGGAAGACCTTCTGTTTTCTAATGATTGGAAGAACTCTGCTATCTATAATAAACGACAGAAATTAGACGTATTCTTCTCAATTTTTGTAACCATCCGTCTCTTACCCCTTTCCCAGGTGATGCTGTCAACAGGATGTCCGGCATAGGGGCAATGAACTATCAAAGTCCCTCCTGCGACAATCGCTTGCTTTTCCATAGACCTTACGTATGGGAGACCATAAACATTGATTCTGGCCCGATGTTCGGTAGATCCAACTTTGCTACTGGCCACACATTTGTACAAACCCCCGTCATTGGTATGTATATTGCTGATATTCATGTTCGAAACAACATCCCCGTTAACGGTAACGTATTGCCCTATTTGGTATCTGTCGCTGTTAGAAAGGCGTCTTCCGTCAAGTTCCCAAGTGATTTCGGGGGTGGGATTGCCGGACGCGATACATTGCAAGAAAACAGTTTGACCAGGTTGGAGGATTTCGTCGCTAAACGAGTGTCGAATTAGGGGTGGTTCGAATCGACCCCCAAGTTTCAATTCTGCCGTTGCCTCGGCACTTTCTTGGTCATTTCGTATGAAGCACTGATACATTCCCTTATCTTCTTTCCGGACCGATTCAATTCGTAGAATAGCGTCATGATGGTCTAAAGGTTTTCCGTCTTTAAGCCAGTTGATGGTCTTTATGGGATTGCCTTCGAAATGACAGGTAAAGACTGCCGGTCTTCCAAAATCGACTGTTTGTACTTGGGGTTCTACAGAAGCTTTCAAAGGGGCCGTTACCGTTAAAACTGTTTCAACACTCTCACCCCCCACAGAATTATTTACCACGCATAGATATTTTCCCGAATCTTCGACTTTAGCTTCGCGAATGATCAGAGTACCGGCGACCTGTTTTACCCTATCGTCTAGTTGGACTGGTTGTTTACGAGTGGTACCATCGACGAACTTGTACCATCTGTAACAATGGAGAACGCGTTCAGAAAAACCTCCCCATTATTTTCTCAATACGTATTGAATGTTATAGCACGATGAAAAAACATTGGGATCGGGTAATTGTTTTCGACCGGAATTTATTACCTCACGAGTGGAACAGGGTACGCCTGAGCGGGACAAAAAGCAACAACAACTTGTCCACTATCAATTCGCACTACATCGATCGTTTTTCTACTTAATTGGGGACCAACCGATCCAGTGGGTTCTGAAAAGGTACAAATGGATACCTACTAATTAAACAGAGGTAAAGTCCAAGCCCAGCGTTTGAGAAGTACAACAACAAGTAGAAGTTTTTTGAAAGCCTAAACATTCGGACTCGTTCTTACCTTTTTAATGGAGGAGGAAACGCCTGGGCGTCGCATAAAAGAACGATGCTAGAATGACTATTGCCTACGAGTTTATTTAAGCCATCTCCTGAAATTTTAGGCCCTGTACGACCTGTAGGTTCTATAACAAAGAAATACGGACCTACCTATAGCTGTCTATAGCTATTAAAGACACATTCACAACTAGGTTTAATTTCAAACGAACGATGGCGATGACGTACAGTTGTTGGGATAAAGTAAAACGTGGAGTAAGTACCAAAATTTTGTTTCCAAAATAGGCACTCACCTGAAAACAGGATAAGGGTATCCCACAACGAGACATAAAATCGATACGATTGACTTTTCCGGAAATGTCGCTATTCTCCATGGTATCTTTTCACCCACAATCTTGGGAGGAATTTTGTTGGTAGGTTCTGAAAAGAACCAGCAGTTAGGATTCTGTATTCAACATTAAAATTGAAAGGAGAAAAAGCTGAGTAACTGACAATGAGTCATGTTCAATCAAGCGTTATCAGTTGAAAAGAAAAGTAACAGACACCTAAAGCGAGTACAAAAAGAGCTATACAGAATCCCTATGCTGGTTACTCATGCAACAACTACATAACTTCAAGGAAGAGTAACAGGGCAATCAAAGCAGCTAATAACCACCTACCTTAGATCATGTACTTGTGCATTTCGAAGGGTGATTTTGTACTGAAAATGTGTGTGTAAGGGCATATATTGAAATCAATAGAGTTTTGTGATTACCATTATATGATTAATCATATTTGAAATCAAATAAGTGATTATCCAAGCGAAAATTATTTTCAATTTTATAAATATTTAAGAGAATTTATTAGCGGATAATTTTTTGATGTATAAATAAACGAAATTCTGACGTAATTATTTGTAATAATAACTAGTAATGTGTCAATTATAACAGAAAGGGTCACTGCAGGTTAGTTCCTTATCAAACAAAATATAAACTATAATAAATATATTATAGTTGTAAATGTTATAGAATAGTGAGAATCTTTTTTAGTTGTTATGTTTATCATACTCATTAGTACCAATATACCCTCAAAAAATAATCCGGATATACCTCTGGGACCGATTCACTGTGCTTATTGTCCTTAGCCCTTTGAAAACATTTAAAAATCTCCATACCTGACCCTCAACTTGTAAATAAATCTGACTTACATACCTATATCGAGGTATAGGAAATCCTGTAACCTGGCACTGAAGCCAAGCGGTTTCTAAAAACGGAACGTAAACATCTTTCCAACCCTTGTACTGTTCACCGTCTTTTTTAGGTGCCACATTACTTGTAGGTTCTATAAACCAACAATAACATTACAACTAACAATTTTGTTTAAAAAATTAATTACAGGATGTCCTATACGATAACGAGAGACCAGAGAGATAAAGAGAGAAATAGACAACTATTACGTAACGACTCACATAAAACGAGGTACAGGATACCCCGTAACCTGACAGGTTAACCAAGCTGTTTCGGTTTGCAAAACGTTCAACATTTTCCAACCCACGAATTCAGCACTAAGTTTTTTTGGGGGAACATTATTAGTGGGCTCTGAAATTGTCAAAAGAACCGAAGTACAATTTAAAAAAAAAATAGCAACGAAAAAGACTGCCAACCTAAATAGTGGAACGGGGTAACCCACGACAGGGCACATCAAAACTGCAGTATTTGCGCTACTTGTAATAATTCTTGTCAGACTTATTTTTTGATCGATAGCTTTTGGCGCTAAATTATTTGTGGGCTCTGCAAAGAAAATTATCCTTTTAGGATATTGATCGATACCATGACGTCTCAAGCCCAAAAATGCCTAAATATGTACATGTACATACCTAAATAGGGGAACAGGGTAAGCCACGACCGGGCACATTAAAACCCCTACGTCACCGAATGATGTTTCGATCAGTGTAAATCTTATCTTTTGATCTACTGCTTTTGGGGCTAAGTTATTTGTTGGTTCTGAAAATAGCATAAAAGATTCCAAAATTGACTAAAAGCTGCCAAAATACATGCAAAAAAATTAAATATTTCGCACCTGTACAAAGGGACAGGGTAGCCGACAACTTCGCAGGTAAAGGCAACGGTTTTGTTTAACGATTGGAAATACATTTTACCCCCGTCATATTTTTGACCACTAGTTTTCGGAGGTATTCTACTTGCGGGTTCTACAATAACATTTTTAACTCGTAAACGTGACATAAATAAAAATAAACAGCCCCTACCTAAACATAGGCACGGGGTACCCCACAACCGGGCACAGTAACACCACGGAATCGTTAATTTCATTGACGATATTTGTAAAGCCGATTTTTCTGTCTACAGCTTTCGGAGCCAGATTATTGGTGGGTTCTAGAAGAAACGAAAGAAAAACCGTGAACCCGAGAAAAAAATACGAATTAAGCCCAGACTTGCGCGCCAACGAAGGAAAACGTATTAGGAAGCAGTTGGACTTACCTGAATCTTGGCGAAGGATATGCTTGAGCCTGACACAGCAAAGCAAATCCTTGTCTGACACCTCTCGTGTATGAAATACTTGTGGCATCGTTTGAAAATGCCGGTGCTTTATATCCGACTGGTTCTGATTTGTGAATAAAATTTTTCTGACATATTTACTAAATCCCTAACTACTCTAATAACCTCTTACCTGAACATGGGAACGGGCAAAGCCTGAGCGGGACACATGAGTGCAAAACTTTGGCCTGAACGTCTTTCGTAAGTGAAACTTTTGGAGTCCGTAGCAAATGTGGGAGGTTTAAATCCAATGGGTTCTAACATAGGTAAACAGATGGTCTACTTTTGATATTAATTTAAAAAAAAATCGGTTGTCTGTAAAGTCGGTTTACTGACGATAATTGAACGTGACAACGTCATAAGAAAATACTGATGGAATGGTTTCATTTTTCAAAAGAAAATTTTAATTTTATTTGGTTGATAGATATTTTGTATGGATATAGAGAAGGAGGTAAATGGAAATATATTATTGTATGGCAGCTGTCCAAGCGGACGCATCGCTCACTCAAGTAGGAGAGAGACAGATGTCGAACGCTGCCGAACGCGGAAGCCGATTGTGCCTCTTTGTTGCTCGTTCCGCGCTCTCGCTTGCACTTCAAGCGTTAAATGGAACGCCTCAGAGCGAGGTAACGCCGCATGCGTCATGTTTTTTCGTGCGCGCAGCCGGCTCCATCGAATTATAAGACGTTGTCACGTCAAAAAAAAGCCAGGCATTTGAATGTTTGGGATAGTTGGATGCTTTCAAAACCGAGCTAATAAAGAATATGATTACTCACTTAAAAATAGGTGAAGGATATGCCTGAGCTTGGCAAAGTAATGCAAAGCTTTGTCCCATATGTCTAGTAAAAGTGTACGAAACACTTGTAGCATCATTAGAAAATGTTGGTGGTTTATATCCAACAGGTTCTAGGCGAAAAATAAGAAAATTTAAATGTCCAATTGTCCGATGTTATTGAAGTACAAATGTTAAGATAGGCGTTCCCTTTTGCGTTGCTTTTATATGTAGTATTTTTTCTTTACTTACTTGAAAACGGGTACAGGCAATGCTTGAGCTGGACATAAGAGACTAAAACTCTGGCCAAAGTGCTTTACAGCCGAAAAAATTCGGGAATCTGATGAAAAAGTGGGAGGCTTGGATCCTACAGGTTCTGGAGATTTAGAAAGAAACAAATGTACAATAAAAGTTAGAAAAGACTAGTACCTGAACAACGGGACAGGCAAACCTTGTGCAGGGCACAGCAGAGAAAAGCTTGTACCACTTTTCATTTCGTAAGATGATGTTTTTGAAGCAGAAGGAAAGCTAGGACCTTTGCTTCCTATGGGTTCTACAATAAGGGAATTGTTCAATTCTTTTACACAAAAATATTCTGAATATTGGGATAGAAAAGATAAGTAAAATCGTATGAGCTCTAAACAATTTTAAATTACCTAAAAATGGGAATTGGCATGGCTTGAGCTGGACATAACAAAGCAAAACTTTGTCCTCGATTCCGTTGATAACCCATGCTCTTCATATCGTTAGAAAATTTAGGAGCTTCACTCCCAACGGGTTCTGTTACCGTTTAGAAAAAAATTAACGACTAGTAGGTAAAAGTACCAAAACTTACAGGAATCTAGGAACCGGCAAACCCTGTGCTTGGCAGAGTAGGGCGAAACTTTGTCCAACGTTCCTCGCGAAAGCGTTTATAAGATTGTCCGTTTGAAAAACAGGGGCCTTGACACCGACAGGTTCTTGGAATAAGAAAACAATAACAGCAAAATGAACATTACCTGAACAGAGGGACAGGGAACCCCTGAGATTGGCACAAAATCGCAAAACCTGAACCCGACTTCCTCTCCATATACTTAAACTTCGAATCGACAAAAGAAGTTGGAGCTCTAGTACCGATGGGTTCTACACAAATTGAACAAAAACTAACAAATACCACCCAAAAAATATTTAAAAAAGGGGGAAAACTACCTGAATAATGGCATAGGGTTTCCTTGAGCCTGACAGAGAAGAGAAAAGCCACTGCCAGTTCGTTTTTCAATGGTCGTACTTTTAACGTCATAAGACAGATGAGGAGCTCTCAAACCAACGGGTTCTATTGCAAGGAATAATTAAATCAGTAAAAAGAAAACCTTAAAAAGGTAGCCGCTGATGGTGGGATAGGTAAACCTATTATAACAACCGGGTTGATTACCTTATTAAGGGCACAGGATAAGCTTGAGCTTGACAAAGAAGCGTCACGTTTTTATCAACTGCCGACTCGAACCAACGACTTTTATCGAGGGTTGGGAACTTGGGTTTTACCAAACCAACAGGCTCTATAGAAATCGAAAGGTATAAGGCATTAAATAAATAGTAACCCAGGGCACCCTTTCTTAGACAAATCCTGCAGAAATAATTACCTGAAAATAGCAACAGGGTAACTCTGAGCAGGACAATGTAACGTAGCAGGAGATTTGGATGTGATTTCAACAGTCTGAATTTTCGAAGTTCCTGGAGTTAATCTAGGTGATACACTACCAACCGGCTCTAAAAAAATATTGTTTGCTGTACATCGAGCAAAAGCTTGTGGCAGTTTCATTCCTAAGTCTTACCTTTAATGATGTTTCACCTTTAATTTACGAGACGTACCTGTAAATAGGAACGGGAAAAGCCTGCATTGGGCACTGCAAACTCAAGTTTTTGAAAACACGCGCTTTGATTGATCGAGATTCATCGCCAGAAGTAAGTTTAGGAATGACTGTGCCAATTGGTTCTGGAAACAATTTTCAATAGGCACTATCTCAATTTACAACAGGGGAGGGGAGAATATCAGATAGGGTAAACTACCCTTGCTGTTAGCATAGTTAATAGTTACCTAAAAAAAGGTACCGGAAAGGCCTGATACGGGCAAAGCAGGGTAATGCTGTGATTAAACTTGGTTTCAGCTGTGCGACTTTTATCCCCGGAAGTGAGTTTCGGGCCCAATCTTCCAACGGGTTCTACACCAAGGAAATTCGAATTGAAAATTTAATTGTATCGAACAAGACAAGGTTAAAAACAACTGTCAATTTTACCTGTAAAGAGGTGGAGGACTGGCTTGACCAGGACACTGGAGGGAAAATATGTGACCTGTTTTGGTGAAATAATTAGTCGGGAAAGCCGGAATATGTGGCTTGACGCTCCCAACTGGCTCTACAGATTTACAAGATACATTCCCATTTACTATGTAACCCTTAAATATTTTTGAGACAGGGTACCCGGTAATAAAACAATTTATTACGCATGCGCAAACTGTTACAAAAAGTTACCTAAATAAAGGAGCCGGAAATCCTTGAGCTGGACAATGCAAAGTTACACTTGACCCCATCTCTACGTCGTCTATCGGGGGATATTTGCTAATACGGGGCCTTACATTTCCTACTGGCTCTGAGTAAAAATAAAGCTAAAATTACTTTGAAGGACTACGTTAAAAATTACCTTGCTAAAGGTACAGGAAATCCCTGCGCGGGACATAACAAGCTCAAACTAGAATTGGTGGGATAAATGTAGTCCTTTCTAGTTTCGAGTGGAAATTTTGGTTTTGTCGAAGAAACGGGTTCTATAAAAATTGAAACGCTTAAATATTTTCAAGTTGCTGGGATAGGGCGCGAGGTGCGAGGAAGTGACTCTTGATAACGCGAAAAGACCTACCTGATAAGTGGTACTGGGAACCCTTGTGCTGGACATAGCAAGTTAATAGTTTTGTTTCTGTTAAATTTATATTCTTTTTTTGTTTCTATTGTAAGAGTTGGCGACATACGTCCAACCGGATCTGGAAAGGACAAAACGGAACAGCTGAGTCTAACCCAAGCACCTGTGCAGAGGTAGGGACTGATCCAGAAGAAAGTAGATAACAAAATAAAAATGGTACGTACCTGTAGATGTTATAATTTGTAAGTACTTCTTTCCGTAAGTAGTGATTGTTTGTTGCTTTCGAAAATTTAGAGAGAGGGAGAGGAAATAATGTAAAAGTAATAATTTTGTTAATTTTGATGTGCCCGTCTGCTAAGCAAGGGTACCCTATCCCAACATTCAGGCAGTCTGGGCTTGGACTAAACTGCCAAAGCAGAAACTACGTTTCTTTCGTATGAGAAATGTAGTTTCTACTTTTCGCTCAGATATAAAATAAATCACAAAGACGTTGCACTTCAACCCCGTCTGAATCAATGGCCATTTGGCAGAAGAATCGTTTCAATTTTATCTACATAGAATTTCAATGGTGTATATATTGACTCTATTGAAATTTATCGCCGCTGCCAAACCTGTCGAAACTTTTTGCCATCTCATGCATAAAAGAAATGGGATTGTTTATGAGATTAGCGAAGTTCGACTACATCCGACATTAGAAGCAAGCGTCTAAATCGGGGAATTTATCCAATAAAAGCGATACTTCCTGTACCAGGCGTAGGTACGAAGGAAATTCAATATTAGCACCGACTGGAGAGGTTATTGAACCACCTACTACACTTTTTTTTTTGTTTCACACCATTCATTCATAGAGGTTGAAGTAGCAACTTGATTTTCGTTCCGCAAGAAAACACTTGTTACTTTTTTTCCTATTATTTACCCCATTCTTAGAAAAAATAGGGAAAATGAAAAGTGATTGGGAACATCAAAATATATAATGCCGTAGAATGATATGCATTTTGTAGAAATACAAACTGATAAAATTTCAATATCTTTTAATTGATGTTACTGAAAGTCTTTCTTGTTTGTATAACTTCTGTTCATCTCAAACAATAATTTTAATATTTCTTTATAAACTTTAACTTTACTTCAATATCACATGTTCTTTTTGAAGTTTAAAAGTTTGGAAATTTGTAAAATGTTTCCAGTTATATACAATGTTGAAATTATTCTCAAAATTTCGAAATTCTTAAATATTCTAATGATGATATAATAATAAATGTATTTTCAGCTTTTCGTTTTAATGAATATACGAAAGTACTAATTTTACAGTCGTTCTAATTACCCAATATTTTTAATTTTCCCATTTTTCCCTAAACAGTTTTAATGAAGAGCAGTTTGCATAATAATTCGAATAATAGGTGTACAGTGCAACGAACCATTTCAATCAAAATTAAAGATAATTACGTTGATGTGCAATAACTTGGTTAACGGATAATTAAAGTAGTTTTAACATCACAGTATCTACGTAGGGAATTTAACGTGGAATGCTCTTTGGAACCAGTTCAACCATTCTAAATAGCGTTCCTTTTATAGCTCTAGACTTTTATCCTTAATTCGCTTACTGCAGTAAACGCTGCAACCGTCTGTTGTCCTACATTTCGATCTAAATAAATTTTAGCCGCTCTTCAAAGTGTCATTGATATTTTGTAGTGAACTCAGTTATTTTGTAGTTTAATTAATTCAAAAAAGTAACAAGTGCCTCATATTTTTTCCCACGGGACGCACCTACAATCAATCTACTCAAACGCGTACCCTGAAAGCATTTTAATGAAACTCGAATTATAAAAAGCAGTTTAACTGTTGAAAGACAATGAAAATGTAATGCATTAAGTAACTAGGTATGTTCAATTGATTACGTGTATACTATGCATAATGTACTATAAAATTTATGATCTTTCAGGGTACGAAGATTTAAAGGCTGCTTGAATTTTTTGAATTTTGTAAAGTTAACATCGAATTTAACAAAATATGATTATTAAATTAATGGTTAAAAAATTATATAAATATTGTTGTTGTATATTGTCAGTGTACAACAAGACATCAGACCGGATCTAGACGATTATCTCATACAGGAATTATATATATATTATTATTGAAATACAACACGTTTAGTGAAGTGATACAATACGCGATACATTAACCATGGAAAGCATTCTTTTGTCCAGTAGTCAAAGAGCAATTGTATAATATTATTTATACATTATATATATGGTTCTTGACCACGTATTATATACGTATAGTATGTATAATTCAAGCAGCCTTTTTTACTGACAAAAACGAAGGTGGAATAACAATGAAAAACGACTAATAGCCGATCCAAAACTGGAAGAAATCGTGTGGTGTATAACAATTTCTTTTTCGAAAAGAATAAGAAAACGGAATGTTAATATTATATATTTTTTTTTGGAATTTTAGTTCGTGCAGTTAATGATTTCCCTGTTATATGTATGCATGTATGTATGTGTGTATGTTAAAAGCCTTATTGAGTTTTATTAGGCACTAATGTACATTTTATCGCAAGATAGTGGCAACAAAGTGTTGTTAATTGAACATTTCAATTCGTAATCGTTCGGACCTTAAAAGACAACAAGAAAAAGTAATAAAATTAAAAACTCATTACACTCTCCCTTAATGAAGCAATTAAGTACTTATTATTGTAGAATGGGCTGACAATTTTTTAGGTTAAAACTGATTTATATGTAAAATAAAACAACCCAAATATAAAATATATTCGCCCTATTTAAAATAATGTAAAAAAAAGGACTCTCTATCTATGTTGACCTTCTAGTGAAATGTAAATATAAAGGACAAGTATCAATCTATCAATAAGGCCACATCAGTATCAATAGGGCATGTCGTAAAAGGGTTCATATACGGTATTGACATTAGAACCAGATTAGTCTAAATTAGAACTGGGGCAGTCTTTTTTTAATAATAAAATATATCTGACAGGTTAACC